ATAATCAACACCAAAATCTTCATTAATTTTATTCAAATCTCTAGAAGTAGGAATTAAAACATTAGAAGATGACTGAGAGAAACCAGAACTACTTCCAACATCATCATTTAAATGTGGACGCTCTAGAATATTCATATCTTCTTCACTTATTTATGACAAGAATTAACATTAAATATTGTGTAAAAAATAGTTATATATTATATAATATAGACATGTTAGTAAGTAAGAACCTTCATTATCTCTCTCAAAAGCTGATGGAGCTACACCATTTTCATTATGCATAGCACTTTCCAAATTAGTGACATCATTAGCATTAAACTTTGGAGTTGTTTCTTATTCTTCTTCAGCAATCCAAAAGTCCAATTTGTCAATAGATTCATAATCGATAGGATCAAAACTTGTCTTTTTCTTCAATTGGATCCTTTAATGAGATCAAAGAAATTAAATACAAGTATATACCTACCATAAAATAGCAATAAAATGGATTCATTCAAACAAGCTCCACTCACAACGAGAAGAAGAAAAAGTTTGGCTAAGAATACACATTGCAAGATTTTGCAATTCTGGAACAAAACTTTCATAGAATGATCATCATTCATATGCAAATAAAAGACAATTAGTTATATGTTATATGACAAATGAAATTACCATGACCATGTTAAATATTTACACTTTTAAGGGTTTAGTTTCTGTGCTACTTTATGACATGAAACTTTATCAAAAGATTCTTTATGATCACGATACAAGTTCAACTACTTTATTATCACAATATAATCAACATCTTCATTTTTAGTTAACTCAAACAGTGAAAGCATTGTATCCATTAACCTTCTCTTGTGAACAAAGTCATCATTATACAAGAAGGTAGCGTTCAATAATATGCTGTTGCATGAAGATTGGTCTTCAAGTACTTATCCCATTAGGCTTGAATAATATCTGTATAAGGCTTATATTGATCTTTCTTATTGTGGACGACTGCCTTAATTGCTTTTTTTGCCTTTGCATGCCTTCATAAACATAAGGCAAAGAAGGCTTCTCATCTAAATCAATAATTCTCAATAACTTTATGAGAGGAGACACAATCTTCACAACTTCAAAACATTCATTCCAAAATTGATTATCTAATATGATGGCACTAACAATTATTTCGGCTTCGGTCCTTAATAATTTATGATCTACAAAATGCTTATCAGTAATTAAAGCTTGCAAGCCATACTTGTGCATATATATGCTATGCAATGTGATAAATGTTATAGCTAACTTTGCCGCACCTGGATGCACAATTTCTTTTCAACCCTTTCTTTTCCTGAGCCATGACAAGAAGACCATATGATAATAAACAAACACAATGATCTTTGATGCCTTTGTTGTAAGTTAGACATGCTTGTAATGTCTTTCTCAAAGTGAGATTCAACCAATAAACAGCACAATGTAACCAATAAATACTTTTATATTTCTCTTTAATCAACTTGCCATATGTTACATAATTAGCAGCATTATCAGTTATCATATGCACAATATTTTTAGAACCAACCCACTCAATCACTTCAGAAAATAATGAGAATAAAGTCTTGGCTTCTTTCATTAAATTAAAAGCATCAACAGATTTCACAAATAATATGCCATATGTAGAATAAACAAGAAAATTTATCAAAGTTTGTTGCATCACATTTGTCCAACTATCAGCCATGAGTATATATCCATAGGTTTTCCATTTAAATCGATAATTCTCAATAAGAAGCTGATATTCTTTTTTCCAATCATTCAATAAGTTGACTCTAGATTCATAAGCATTATGACCTTTAAAACCCGGCCCAATTGAAGCAATAGCATCCATAGCTTTTTAAAAGAAAAGGCAATTTAATGTATTAAATAGAATATGATTGATGATAGCCCATTCAGCAATGACCATCTTTTGCATCATGTTGTGCTTCTTTAGTCATAAATACACTCTTGATCCTAGTTAGGAACTCGGAGTTGTCTTAGAGAAAAAATAATTTTCAACTAAAATAGTATGAGGTTTCTTTTTACTGGAACTACTCTTAGGGATTGACTTAGATGGAGTAAGAGCATTTAGTTCCATAGCATTAGATACATATTCCCCCATGTCTGCTTGTACATCAGCAAGTTTTCTTTTCTTCAAACTTTTCAAAGATTCTTGCATTTGATGACGAACATCGTAAGGAACTTTGCTACAAAAAACTACATTTCCAAATATACCAGCAAGATAATGCTTCAATCTATTTATTCCATCTCCTTTATAACTTAATGCACAATAAAGACATGTATACACATTTTTGTTGTCCTATTTTCTTAAGTTAACATGTACCCATGCAGAATCTTTTTTCCCAAAAATTGATGGGGTCCCAGATGTTGAGTCATTATGACTATAGCAAGGGGATTATTGGAATTGAGGGTGGGATTCTCAGTTCCATTACTACTAGGATTACTTCCAATATCCATGATATAACTTTGATCTGCAAGCTACAATAATTTCAATACAAATAAACATTTGGGTTTGATGCAGAGGGAATATGTTCAAATAATCAAACTTAGTTCCAACACCATTCCAACAATTAATATAAGATAAATCAGTACAATAGTATATCATCTAACGGAAACTTCGTAATCTCAAATAATGACAGTGGAATGACAACCATTAACTTATCAATCACATTTAATATATTTAAGGATTCTCACCCGTTCATTAAATTTAATCCAAATGTGAATCACTTGATCTCCTATTAAAATTGTATAAGTATATGCATGCCATCTCATTTATACGCATCAAGTGACTAAAATATTATCATAAGCAAAGCAAGTAAATCGAATGAACATGTCTTTGGAAGCAAACATACTAAGATGGTGATATAGACCAAGTAATCGAATCAATGACCATACTAAATCAACACATACTAGGATAATGCATTCAAACTACTAGGATTATCAGATACAGAGCAACACCAACATGCCAACACCTAAATCGAGTAGGGAGGGAGGGAGAGAAGAAGAAGATACACATAAAGCTGGGAGGGACCGAGGGAGGGAGAGCGAGAATTGGTGCGAGTATGCAATAAGATACACTTAAGAAGAAGAAGAGACACCTAAAGCTCAATGATGAAAGATCGATAAGAAACAAGTGCAATTGTACAAGAAGCCAAGAATGAAGGGTAGAAGATGAAGGTCAAAGACGAAAGCTGAGAGTGAAGGGTGGAAGATAGAGAATGAGAGATTGCGAGTAGAATCTGTAAGTGAGAGGCAGAAAACTAAGAGATCAAGACTTGAATTTTAGCTTTAGGGCATCTACATTTCAACATTTAAGGTTCAACATTTTCTAACTTTCTAGGTTTCTTTTTTTTTTTAATTTTTTTATTCTAACCCTAAAAATGACATCATTTTGAGGGTCAAAATTTGAAAAATATATCAACTTGCCCAACCAGCTTGACCCGTGGGGTTGGACGAGTTGATCCTAATTAACATCGGGTCGCCCGGGTTAACCCGGGTCACTTAGTTCCCCTTCAAATAGCAAAATTAGATTGAAAAGGCGACTAGGTAGTCGGTCCGATCCAGTTTTCAATATCATGATCTTTACTCGTAAAAAATTATATATGATTTTTATAGTTATACCAAATATATTTTTAAATCTCATATCTATTTTTAATTTTATTTTCACATTCATATCTATTTTCATTTTTATCAATATTTTTTTCATTATATCAAACAGGATCTCTAAAAACTTAAAAAAAATTTGGAAAATTCACTTGCGTTGGGCTGTGATTCTGACAACTGTGGTTTCCCCATCCCCTCCGTCAGATATCCATTTTTATAAAAAATATTATTGAAATTCTAAATTTTAGAAAATAAATAATAAAACTCAAATGTAACGGTTTTTGTACTATTGGTTGACGGCAATGACACCACTTCCCCCACCCCCCCAAGATTAATATATATGACTGTTATCACACACACACACACACACACAGATATATATATATATATATATATATAAAATAAAATTCATACCGACCACACGATTCTTTGTTCATATTATTATTAGCAACTGTATTTAGTATATAATAAAAATAAAAATTACAATAAAATAAGTCGGTCAAGAAAATAATAAGTTGGTAACAATATTTTTTTTTATTACAGAAAACGCATTTATAATTCTAATTATATACATACACGTACAAACACTCCACCTCCGGTGAATAGTATAGACTGTCTGTAAAAATTTCAACACTCTAGATTTAATGTATTTTATTTTTTATTTTACATTTTTAAAATAAAAATTATAAAAAATGGTAAAATATTTAATAAATCTATTTGTCAGTTTAAATAGTTAAGGTTTAATATGAATAACTCATATTTAATATTAAAATTTTTATAAATTTACTATACAAATATATTTTGAATGGTGCAAATTTAATATTAATTTTTTTATTTTTTTATATTAAATGTGAATTATTCGTATTAAATTCTGGCTGGACAAATTTATTAAATTTTTTATAATTTATATAATCTTTTTATTTATAAAATGTAAAATATAAATAATAAAAAATATTAAATACCGAATTAAATCTGAATATTTTGTGGGAGGTGGCTTCCTCAAGGAGGGAAGCGAACTCCCAAACACTCATGGAAAAGGAAGACGGGAGTTTTGGAAGGAGACATGAAAATGGTGTGGGGTCGTGGGATAAAATTGATGGGTAGGTCCGGAGGTACTATCTGCGTGTGCCGAATTTCCTTCTCTTGGCCTCATCGACTCTGCATGCCGGCCGATTTGACACAGATTTGGCGCCTTTCGCTATGCCACTCACTAACTAACAAACAACAAATTCATGACGGATTCATGCACATCTCACTTGCCACACCGGTTGATCAATCCCATTCTTCCTCTCACCGTCTTCTCCTCTACCATCCGGAAAGCCACAACAACCCTTTCAAGGTTATATGTATAACCGGCTCATGTCTCCGATAATCCATCCGGTGGTTCCGCATTTTACTTGAATTTTGCATCTCTGTTTTGCATGGTTTTTCTGAATGCATATTCAATATTGGCTCTGTAGTTTCAGATTTGTACTTAAATAACGCAACCTCATCAGCTTCATCCTGGTTCGCGAATATTTATTAAAATCAAATGAGTTAACCGGCGTGTACTGTGTCTTTAAAATTGACGAACCTCGACGCCTTTATAAGGAAGGGATGGAGTTGACATGGAAGCGTGCTATATTGAGATTTTTCCAAGGTTTTAAGGACTTAGGTAATCATGATTTACATCATATATACTCTCAGTCTGCTGATAAGCGTTACTTTTTCAGGGGTCGAATATTCAGGCTTTGCATGTGAAAGGAAGGCATCAGCACGTTCAATGGGAAGTCCTTTACGCAGGTCTGAATGTGCGGCAGCGGGTGTTTGTTTCCATAGCATGAGCTTCTTTCTCTACAATCTTCTTTGAGATCACGCAAAATAGAAGAAACAAAGGAAAATTTCATTGACTTTTCCCTTCAATTTCTATTTGTCCTGCAGTGGAAATTCCAGAAAGTCTAATGAGACAATGAAGTTCACTGTAACAGTTTTTCTTGGAGTTGTTTTTGGCTTCCTTCTGGGAATTTCGTTTCCAACACTCTCATTAGCTAAGGTGTATAATCTTCCACAACAATGTTATGTTTATTTTAATAGCAGGTCAAGTGTGCCTGCCAGAATTAACAGTTTTTGTTTAATGTCTAATTGTTAGATAACTCTCCGATCTGGCCTTTTCCCATCAATTGATCTCACAAAGATTGAGGACGACGGTTATTCACGTATTTCAACCGAAGGAATTTGGGATGCGTGGGCTTCTTTTAGCGGTGACAGAAGCATTTTTAATGGAATTCAAAAATATGACGAGGCCAATGTATTATTCTCTGCTCTAGTTTGATGGTTTTTCTGCGGTGCAAAGGTTTAAGGGCTGTTCAAAGTTATTGAGCTCATGATTAACTGGATACACTTGATTATGATGCAGATATGGGTTCCCACAAATCCTCGAGGGGCTGAAAGGTTACCCCCTGATATAGTCAAATCTGAGTCAGATCTTTATCTTCGTCGATTATGGGGTCAGCCCGTGGAGGTGTGTATCTTCAATTCTTCTTCTTCTTCTTCTTGTTTTTGTTTTTGATAACAGGAGGTGTGCATATTCTATCATGCCTTTGATTCAGCAGTGAGATTTTCCCTGTGATTATGAGTTACACTTTTTTCTCCTCTTTAATGTCTCTTCTGATGGACGTGACAGGACCTAGCCATCGAAACAAGGTATCTTGTAACTTTCACTGTTGGTTATGATCAGAAAGACAATATTGATGCCGCAGTGAAAAAGGTTATTTCAGATTCTGCCCTGCTTCAACGTGTCTTCTTTACCCGTCCTCCTAACTGTGTTCTAAGTTCGTTTTACTCCCTTGAATTTTCAACTTTAAAATTTTCAGTTCTCCAAGAACTTCACCATTGTTTTGTTTCACTATGATGGTCGGACTAGTGAGTGGGACCAGTTTGAGTGGTCCAAGCGGGCGATCCATATAAGTGCTCCGAAGCAATCTAAATGGTTGGTCCTGTTTTCTTTATTTTGTTTCATTGTTTTGCTACAAGCTCTTACCAGGCCTTTTTCATTACGTTTCGATTTCTGACAAACATCCTGAAATTTGATTCAAGGTGGTTTGCTAAACGCTTTCTGCATCCTGACATCGTGGCACCCTATGACTACGTCTTCATTTGGGACGAGGATCTTGGCGTGGAGCATTTTGATGCAGAGGAGTAAGCATCAAAACCATAAACATTTAGTGGAATTAAGGGTGCATTGAAATTTTTTCAACTCGACCTCTCCATTCCAGGTACTTGAAATTAGTTAGGAAACATGGTTTGGAGGTTTCACAGCCTGGTCTTGATTCGGATAGAGATATTACATGGCAGATGACAAAGAGAAGAGATGATAGCGAAGTCCACAAGTTAGTGGGACCTTTCTAACATGCTCCTATTTCTAGCCTGTCAAACATGTAATCATGGCTGATTATACTTTTATAATTATTCCTTCTTGCAGGAATGCTGAGGAGAGAGATGGTTGGTGTCCTGATCCGCATTTGCCACCTTGTGCTGCGTATGTGAACATAATCTTACAGGCTTTAGTTCTTATTGACCTTAACCAGTCTTCCTGTTTCTGCATACCTGAGGCTGACAATGATTTTTGAAATACTCAGATTTGTTGAAATCATGGCTCCTGTATTCTCCAGAGATGCATGGCGTTGTGTGTGGCATATGATACAGGTATAAAGAATGCATACTTACGTCCTTTGTAATATTTTCACTTCATATTCAATTTTTATCTCACTTGTTTTTGACCTCCTGCATTGTAGAATGACCTAATTCATGGATGGGGTCTAGATTTTGCTCTCAGAAGATGTGTGGACGTGAGTAGTTTGCCTGCCTTTATTTTTTCCTTAAAAAAAAATATTCTTATTCCTATAACTAGGTATAATGAAATTATTTTGGTTTGAAACAGCCTCCCCATCAGAAAATAGGAGTAGTAGATACTCAGTGGATTGTTCATCAAGGCATTCCTTCGCTTGGGGATCAGGTAACGAAGCCTTCTGTTTTGGAATTTAAGGTTTTATATAGAGTCTTTTATAGCAGTCTTTGGTTTCTTGCGACAGGGGCAAGCACAGGGCGAGAAGGCTCCATGGGAAGGGGTCTGTGATGAACTTCTCTGTCTCATGTTTATCTTTAAACAATTAGCGTTAAATTTACATTCAAATGTGGAAGATTGATGTATAGTTTTCACTTGCATCAGGTGAGAGCGAGGTGCCATGCAGAATGGGAAATGTTCAGAGACAGAATGGGTAATGCAGAGACGGCCTATTTTCAGGCACTACAAAGCGGTTCCTCTAACTCCTCGGCTAGTTAGGGTCATGCACTGATGTCTTAGCCAAAAAAGCGAGTTTAGCTTTTTAGAATTTCTACAAGCTAGTCATTTTGACCTAGTAGCTTGAGCTATATTGTTAGGGATTCCTTAGTGCATTCCTTTATGATGATAGGAAACTATATATATATATATATATATATTATGCTAATGATATCATTTTTAGAGTGTCATGTAAATCCTCCAAAGCTACAATTGTTACATTCTTATGATACGTGGCGTTCAAATCAACCCCTCTAGTCTCTGAAAAAACTCCACTTCAGCTCCTAAAAGTAAGGACAGGAGGGAATATCGTAACCGGGGGGGTGGGGGGAAGCCAAAACGACTTCTTAAAAAAAAAAAAAAACGAAAGAAAATGTCGCAACGACGATCCGCCCAGAGCGTCGAATGCAAAATAAGAGCATAAATACCAATTCCCGCGCTCCCGTATTTTTGAACTCCTCATTCTCTACCTCCACTCCTGGAACTTGGAATCTTGCTATACAATTGTCTGGTATGGGTTCGGCCCCACAATATCAGGAAGATGAGGACTGGGAGCTCTATAACGACGATGGCTTTGTGTTCAAGCGCAAGAAGCGACATCTTGACCCCACAGTAACTGTGCCTCATCCATCCTCCACTTCAGACGCGGATCAGTTTCAGGAGGCAGCGCAGAAGCAGCGGAGAGAGCGTAAGAGGAATACCCTCCTGAAGCTGAAAACTAGGTACCTCTCAGAGATCCATCTCTGGGATTTCTTGTCCGCCACATTGCGCTCACTGGAAGAGACCGCCCTTGAGTATAGAAGGCAACAAGAGCAGGCGAGGCCCTTAGCGTTAGATTCTGTTGGTGAATCTGTGCTAGATGACGTTCTCTTGCAGGTAATCATACTCTTTCACCGTGGATGCGTTATTCTAAGTTGTCATCTTACTAGTTCTGAAATTGTTGCTATGAGGGAGAATTGGAAATTGGGGCTTTACATTTGCAATTTTCAGGAGGCGAACTAGCTAGGATTTGGATTTTTTTTTTTCCTCCTGTCCGAAACCCTCTAGTGAAGAAATTTCTTAGCTGTTGATTATTGGGAGCGCCGATTTCCGGTGATAGGTTGAAGAATATATCAGCTGCGCAATCTTGATTATTACCTTAGCTGTCATCTTTCGAAACTACTTTAGTTATCTAAGTTGCCAATTTCTATGGCCCTAAAATAATCACAATTCATAACTCTATCTTGCTTATGATCCCACTGCCTGTTCGTCCACTGATCCCATCACTTTCTTTTCCTTTTTCTTTTGATTTATATTTGCCTTTGGTGATTTAATTAACCCAGCGCCTGTACTGTAGCAAGAGAAATGCCAAGGCACTATGCCAGGTGCTCTATTATTAACTTTGAGAGCTCGAGTGTAGTGCGCAAATATATTTTCTAATTATAGTTGGAGGGAAATTTATCTCAAGCTACATGCAGAGATCACATTATGATAGACTTGCAAGTAACAACTCTCTCACCATACAGGTGCAAGCCCAAGAAGCGATAATTCATAATATATCAAATTTATGCGACGTAGCGGAAGCAATATGCCACAAACAAGAGCAACAGTTTAAACAGACAGTGTTTAATCTTCCCATCTGGGCTTCACCAGTTGAGCTCATGGAATTGCTATGCTTATGTGATGATTAAATTAGTACTTTTACCGTGCTGGATCCTCTTGGTAATGATTGAGAATCTGAGAGATCGGCCTTCTACTGTTAACAAGATCTTGATCAGTTTCGTTATTTCTATTTTCTGATATGATCATACTCTGCACTGAGTTAATGTGGGGGCTCACCACTGTGCCAGAGTAGTAAATATTGTTAGTTTGATTACACCTTAGACGAACACTGGAGTGACCATCTGATGGATGGAAAGTAGGCAACGGTGAACTCCTCGGAAGGATGAGAAGAAAGTTTCTCTGAAGCCTTCAAGGAAGAACAAAGATTTAATTCTGTAGTATTGTATAGGTAACTTACAGGCAAGGCTGTCATTTCTCATTGTATATTGTCACGTTACTAACTTTTAGGCTTGCCTGTCAGTTCTCATTGCTTTTACTTGTGCAAGTAATGAAATACTCCTTCTGTTTTCATTTATAAAAAAAAAAATTATTTTTTTATTTTTTTAAATAACCAAAATTACATTTTTTAATAAGCATTTACTGTAAATTTTTTAAATTATCCTTTATAATTTGATCATTTATAATCATAAGAGACAATTAATAAAGACTTGATTAATACAATTAACGAAGGATATTGTAGTCTATTCTTTTATTTTCAAATACAATTAATATAATTAATTAATTTTTTTAAACTGTGTGATATAATTTTTTTTTCCTACCAATAAGGATGACTGGAGTAATCCTTTAATTACTTCTCAGCCTTTTCCCCTTCTCATTTGTAGCTGATATCTGAGTGGATGATTCAGTGATGCAATCCTTGAAGTTATGGTGTACTGAAACTACTGCAGCAATTTCTTTAGAAAAGGTTATTTCTATACTTTCCCCGTCCAATGTCACTCGTCATGAAGTTCTTAAGAATGCCAGTTTTCAAGATTTTTTTTTGGTGCTCGGTAAAAAAAAAAAATCTAGAAATTTCAGATAAGAGTTTGATTTATCACCGAGCAAAACAAATCTTGCGTGGGGAAAAGAGTATCTCTGTTCTGCAATCAAAAACCGTTCATTTCCCTCCATTTTCTCAATTTTCACCATTCAAATTATTTCATTATATAAATTTTTAATTATAAAATTAATGAATAGTGAGAATTGGAGAAATGGAGAGAAATGAAGAGAAAAAAATGAAGAGTCTCCCTCCCCTCTCTTTTTTCTAATGACTCCTGTCAATATTTTGAGAGATCATGATGTACACAGGATGATATGTTCCCTTCGGATTGATTGATTAAACAATCTCAAACAAACAAAAACTATATCAGTTGGATTGCAGATGTGGTAACAGAGAACCAGTGGTACAGAATAATTATTATAATGCCTTGTCTATTGCGTTTTTAGAGGAACTAGTTAGGTAAAGTGCTCCCATGATAATTGATTTCAACTCAACCCTAATCCAATCAAGTAATTAATAATTAAGTGCATACTGATATTTAAAAAAAAAAAGTTCAATCATCAACGTACGCTCGATCTCTTGAGGAACACTTAAATTACTGACAACAAAATATGCAGAGTCCCAACCAATGCAGCAGACAATAGTCACGTCCATTCTCTTCTGCCTCACAGCCAACTTGACAAATGAGTAATGAAAAAGATAACAATAATAATAATAAGGATAAGAATAATAATAACAGAAAGGATCTAATCCTTTTATTGTAATTAAAAGGGAAAGAAGCCACAACATGTCTGCGTCGTGTCCCAAACCACATAATCTTGAATTCGTCAAAATCCATTCTTGTCCCCGCCCGAGGGTGAAGGGACCCAGTCATGATAAGCTAGATTGGCTCTTCATTTGGATGAAACTCAATTTATATTGTTAAAATTAAATTCCACTCTCATTATTTTAAATTATAACATATTTTTAAATGAAATTACGCACATCAAAAAAGATTATTAAATATACTTTGTAATTTTATTTTTTAAAATAAAAATATAAATTTTAAAAAATATCTTTTATTTAATACTCAATTTATAAAAAAAAATTAAAGATAGAGAATATAATGGAAAAAGTAACATTGGAAAAACTTAATTAATGAAACACTATTTTTATCAAAATATATTATATTTTAAAATGATTAATATTCTGTAAAAGTGATTTATAATTTTAGACGGGAGATATATCATTCATGATGTTTAGTATGATTTATTGCATTTTTCATTTCTACCCTCAATTAAATGCCACCATTAGAAGGTGCATTTTTATTAAACAATGTGGGTAAATGTTGACCCTTAATGAGGGATGTTTTAGGGGAAAATGTTTTTTGTTATGTAAGAAATGTTTTTAATTACACATATAACTTTGTAATGAGACCTATAATCAGGGACAAGGATGGTTATTTGTGCCATAATCATGATTTTTGAGGACTTTAAATAATTAAAATAGTACCCCCTCTGTTTCAATGTATGAGATTTTTTTTATAAAATTACACATAATAATAAAATTCATTTGAATACACTCTATAGTCTTATTTTTTTAAAAAATACAAATATAAATTTTTAAACTTTTTATTTAATACTATAACCTTATATGTGAAACATTATAGAGATAGATAAAATATAATATGGAGAGAAGTGTGATATTAAAATAAGTACAATTTATAAAATCTTATTTTTATTAAAGTATTTTATATTTTGGAGCATTGAATCACTTTAAAAAGTGTCTTATAAACTATAATGGAAGGAACAATAATTATGAATATTGTACTCTCTCCATTCAAAAAAGTAAGGCATTTTTAATCAAATCTCACCCTCAATAAAGTAATTGTGTACTTTTAAACTAACACTATCTTTTTATATTTACCACTATTAAACACTTTACAATAAATATAAAATAATTATTAATTGGAATACTTTTAAAAAAATAATGATTATATCTTAAAAAACTAAAATACCTTATATTTTTTAATATTTAACTCCTAAAAAAATACTTTATATATTTGAACTGAGGGAATATAAGATTTGGCCAATAAGTCAAAAGTCCCAAGTTGTTTACTTAGAGTGCAAGTTAAAGACCAAGTCAAAACCACTAACTGCTTAGTACGTGTTTGATTTTTCATTAGTCAAAAGTTAATTTATTAAAAATTAATTTAACAAAAATTAATTTAATAAAAGTTAATTATTGTAATGATACTTATATTTATATTTTTTAAAAAATTAATTTGGTAAATTAAAAATTATTTGGATCATATGTAGTAAAGTGTACTTTGTATGTGCAATTACAAAAAAAAAATATTAATTTATGATGATTTATATTTTTTATTATACAAATATGATATATTAGATATGTTTAAAAAATATAAGTGGTAAAGATAATAGGATAGTTAAATATGTTTGTAATAATAAATAAGAGATAATAAAGACATTAATGAGTTTTACATTAAATTTTTTAAAAATATAAAAAAAATTTCTTTCGAAAGAATTTTTATTTTAAAATATTGAGTATTTAATTTTAAAATAAATAAGGAAAAGCCATCACCACCCAACTCATTTAGCATTTCCTTATAAT